CTTCACGACCCACACTGTGATGACGGTATCGGTAAGAAAGATGACATAGATTTAATTAAAAAGCCTTACGCTTTGTGATCGATGCATTCCACTACTTTTCCAAAGGCACCTTCACCCAAAGTAGCAACGATCTCATCTATAAAGAGAAAAGCTCTTAAGAGTCACAGAAGTTGCGAAGGTGCTCAGCTATTTAAAAAACAAGCAAACAAACAAAAACAAAACAAAAAACCAAACAGACTAAGTACTAGCACTTCAGATTACTCTAGACTGGGCTGCTTTAAATGGTAAATATCTAGCGTGAGAGCTGTTATTGGCCAACTCTCATCAAGGAATATTTACAGGGATCTCATTCTACTGGGTTCATTAACTTCATTTACTGTTTTTTGGGGGGGGAAAACAGGGAGAAAGAAAAAAGAAAAATATTTAAGTAAGCTCTACAGAGAAAGAGTAACAATCCCCACCCCCAAACAAAAAAAGTCAGGACAGAAAGAAAAGACTTTCAGAGCCCCCTCACATCTTATGCTAAAAGAACTTATTCTATCTGAAAAGTTAATAAATTTTGAAAAATATTCTATACATCTTGCACTTAGTACGTCTCCACTCTGACAGATCAGGTGACCCTCCTCATCATCCTCTACACTCCTGGATCTTTTCCTTCGATGACTCTTCTGGAACGGCACCAAGATCGTCCAGCCAATCAATAAACCCGAGTGAATTCAGGTCAGAATACGAAATTCATTCAGCAGGGAGATATTCAGGCATTCAGATACACGCCAGGCCACAAACGGTTGGCAGGAGCAATTTCAAATTCAGTCCCCGGAAATTCACAGGGCACATAGTTTATGTTACAGGAGAAAAACATGGCAAGGAACAGATTTACAGATGAGATACTCAAAGTGGCAAGGCAACAAAAAATTACAACACAATTGTTTTTCTTTTAAAAGACTGGGTCACTGAATTTTACATTAGGATTTCAGTGCCCATAAATTTTTTTTTAAGCAAAAGGATTTAATAATTATCTTATCTATCTTATATATATATATATTAAAAATAGCCTTGTGGCCATATTAAAATACCCATCTTAAGTAAATAAGAGATTAAATCCCTGGTCTGAATATTGCTAAGAATTTTTTTTTAAAATCATAAATAGCACATACATTTACTTTAGGCTGCCTCAGCTGAAGATCTTAAATTATAAATCTTATCTTCAGCTTTTTTAAGTTAAATATGTAACAAAGATCAGAAAAACTGCCCTGCTAGCGGGCAGACATTCGTACATTGATTCTACAGATTTTTCAGTGATACTTAAAACATCTTACTAAATAAATTTTTTAAAAGGTAAAAATCTGACATCATCTCCATGCTATTTCAGTGACACTTAGTCAAAAGCAAGCGTAAAAGCTTGTGCTTGGATTTTTGAGTAGGGCTGAAATAAATCCTTGTCATAATAAAAATTCTGAAGGCACGAAAGCGATGCCTGTATTATTTTAAGTACTCCAACTGACGGTTATACTTCATTGATCTGCTCTAGTAGATCTACTGAACAAACAGCAAGACTATGTTCTGTGGCATTATAAGCATAGCTACAAATGACACATTTGCACTGAAGGAAATAAAATCCTAGCAAAAAGAATAATCTACTAGTATTAGCTGACTACTATTGACAGAATTCCCCAACCCCCCCCCACTCAATTACTACTGCCCAGATGAGAATCTATCTTCTTAAAATAAACTAATCCTAAATTAAAGTTGGTCACACCACCTGTGAATGATGATGACAGGTAGTTCGATGGATCTTGTATTTCCTTTTGTAACTACTTGTCCCACTATGACCTGATGATTTGCTACTGTGATGCCCAGTATCACATCCTTGATTGTACTCGTTTCTGTATTCTTCAACATAGCGTCGCTCATGGGCTCTTTCATGTACAGATTTGGTTTCTGAACAGGTACTACAAACAAAGGATCAAATAAACTTAATTACAGTAATTCTAGAACCCCTATCAATCCAGCTTTTTGTTTTAAGCTCTAAGACATCTCTCTTGAAATCATCTCCAGCTCAAAAATGAATACATTATCAGATGATCTGATGGAAATAATACAATCTTAAAACATACGCTTGCCGCTATCACAAGTTGAAAAGTTATTTACCTGTCAGGAAGTTTAGAAAGATCATACTTGCAGTGCTGCTTCTCCTGCGCACCACTTAATGATCTCCTCTTTCTGGTATTGGCACTGTCGCATCTTCTGCGATCCGGAGTTTCTTTTTTATCCCAGTCAGGATAATCACTTTGCCTGGAATGCCGCATCTGTAACCAAGATATTTTGCTCTTTGCATTACATCCCACAGACGAACCATTTTCAAATCCATTACCAAATGAACACTATAATGAAGACTGTTCTTCCTCAACTACCCCGTTTTCCTTTTTCCTCTGCTCTTTCTTCCAAGTTATTTTTTAATTCAAGAGCTTTTTCAAACTGATCATTTTTGACAGGGAAACATAAACCAGTAACCTACTTCTTACAAAAGATTTTAAAAAGAAATATCGTGGCTCCAACACCAAACGCAAATCGTGCATGTTATTTCTGCAAAGCTGCTCAGGCACCCAAGGGCGCACCCGCTAGGGAAAACGAAGGCTTCCGTGTACTTAAAGAGGGCGTACAAATCCTGCCCAGCAGCCTCACACCAGGCTGCCTTCTAGAGATCCCCGGAGAACTCCCAGCGCTACGCCAAAACGACAACAAAACTTCGCTTGCCCCCTAATTACTTAGCTCGAAAAGACAAATACCTCACTACACGCGTTCTTTTATTTCTTTCGATTTCCAATCGTAACTCGGCTCTAGCTCACACGCTGC